AAAAAGAAGTTGAACATTTTCTAATTTTGTAATTAGATGTCCTGGTTGTTCCTCTAGTCAAACCTCTTTTAGCTATGTGTGGCAAATGTTATATTATTCACAAATGACACGATATGTGATGATAACATATTTTGGAGTTTACGTGGTGGAATACATGAATGAGTAACGATCGAAATGTATTAGTGATAGGTGAATTATTTCAGTTATTTAGAAAACATAGATTGTAATTAGTATTTCATGAAATTTCTGATTACTATTAATTGGTTAGGCGTACGAAGACGTTTGAATTCATTTCTTCAACAGTTTTTCCATTTCACTTCTTACAAAAATCTACGATCAAATTATTAAAGATCAAATTGGCTAAGATCCCATTCGCTGAGTAATGTGTCTATATCTGGGCCTAATGCTGCAAAATCGCAGTAATCGAGAATGTTAATATCGGGACTGCCGACATCAAAGTTTTCAAGGAGACTGTCATCACTTGAGTGGTCTTGTTGACCTATTGAACTTTGTCCAGCAATATGATGGTTTTGTGTATCTGCCAATGTATATCCCAGTTGCGGATTTCCTCTCGTTGCGCCTAGAATGAACGTCTGTTAGATATCACTTTATTGTACCAAAGGAAGTGACCGCACGGTCACAGGTATTTTGTAACATATTTTCTCGTGCTTTCATATCAGGTAAACAAATAAAATGCTAAAACTCTACTGAATTTGCAAAACTGAGAAGCTCTGCGGGAATATTTATTTTGTCTTCTCAGTGATTACTTAAAACTGAGGAAGTTCTCATGCTTAAATTCTGTCATTCCGTTCATTATCACATCAGTAACTGCCAAACACCAACTGCGATAAACGACAAGCAGCCATCTACCGATGTCAGATTAAGTATAAATTTTGAATTGCCATTTCACTGTCTTAAATGTTTTGCAACACATTTTCATGTGACCAAAACCAAACATGTTGAAAACTTCTTTTGCTAAAGATAAACTTTGCGAAACTAACGGCTACCTCTGTGAAATTGTCGTTGGTGTCGTCGTAGTCCAGTCTTGTAAGAAAAGGAACTGTTACAAATTTCACATTGAGATTTAGGTTGATGCACATCTTTATGGTGTCGTAATCCCCCTGGGGAATAGAATTTCTTCCCACATTTGGGACAAATGTTGTCAGATTTCTCGTGCATTTGAAGATGTTTTGAATATTCGTTTCTCGTCAGCATAGTCGCATTACATAGTCGACATTCATACTTCTGTCCAACTGAAAAGCTGGTGCGACGCTTGTGTTTACAAATATCATTTTATACGCTAATTAATGAATATAATTTGAAAAATGACTGTATCAGCATTATTTATTAAACCTATCAAATCACATTTCGACTAACTTAAATTACGGATGTTGTTCACTTTTTTACCATCTCTATTTTTAAAACAAAAGGCTCATTCTCATGTTGCCACTAATGGAACAATGTAGGATGAGGGGTAATTCTGAATTCTTCGCTGCAACGAAATCAGATTCGGATTTGGGATTCTTTGTAGCTTATATCTTCAACTTCATCCAATTGAATAAAAGCATAAACCGAAGGGATTAAAGCAGTATATCATTATATAATTCTTTTCTACTTGTTCCCGATAATTATCTATTAGCATTTCCCCATTAACTGTTATATATACTTGCATCTGAGGCAGTTAGTGTTAAATCCAAGTTGTCGTGGATGTCAAAATTTCCTGAAAAACACTCATTGCCCGAATGACCTGATTGACCTAATGAATTGATGAACATCGTGATCGTTTCATGTTTTGCCGAGGTATGCCCTTACGAATCCTCCCTTGGGCACAGAATAAATATTTCTTAGATATCACTTCATTGAGTCAAAGGATGTGATCAGAGATATTTCGTAGCATATTTCCATGTGTATTATATCAGTTTCATAGAAATGATAAAAATTTTGTTGAATTTGCGAAACTCACGAGAAGCTTTGCAGTAACGTTCCTTGTGTCTAGCCAGTGAATTCCTGTAGTTGGAGGAAAAATCACACCTTTCGCATTTAAATTTAGGTTGATGCACATTTTTATGGTGTTGAAATCCCCTTTGGGAATAGAATTTCTTCCCACATTTGGGACAAATGATGACATATTCCTCGTGTGTTTGAAGATGTTTTAAATATTCCTTTCTCGTCAGCATAGTCGCATGACAATGTCGACATTCATTCTTCTGCCTAACTGAAAAGCTGGTGTGACGCTTGTGTTTACAAATATCATTTTATATGCTAATTAATGAATTTAATTTGAAAAATGACTGTATCAGTATTATTCATTAAACCTATCAAATCACATTTCGACTAACTTAAATTACGGATGTTGTTCACTTTTTTACCATATCTATTTTTAAAACAAAAGGCTCATTCTCATGTCGCCACTAATGGAAGAATGTAGGATAAGGGGTAATTCTGAATTTTTCGCTGCAACGAGATCAGATTCGGATTTGAGATTCTTTGTAGCTTATATCTTCAACTTCATCCAATTGAATAAAAGCATAAACTGAAGGGATTAAAGCGGTATATCATTATATAATTCTTTACTGCTTGTTCCCGGTAATTATCCATTAGTTAACTATTATATATACTTGAACTGTTATTAACTGTTATATATACTTAACCCCATTAACTGTTATATATACTTGCATCTGAGGCAATTAGTGTTAAATCCATGTTGTCGTGGATGTTAAAGTTTCCTGAAAAACACTCATTGCCCGAATGACCTGGTTGACTTAATGACTTGATGAACATCGTGATCGTTTCATGTTTTGCCGAGGTATGCCGTTACGGATCCTCCGTTGGGCACAGAATGAATATTTCTTAGACATCACTTCATTGAGTCAGAGGATGTGATCAGAGATATTCGTAGCATATTTCCATGTGTATTATATCAGTTTCATAGAAATGATAAAAATTTTGCTGAATTTGCGAAACTCACGAGGTTTGCAGCAATGTTTCTTGTGTCTAGCCAATGAATTCCTGTAGTTGGAGGAAAAATTACACTTTCCGCATTTAAATTTAGGTTGATGCACTTCTTTGTGGGAAGAAAATTCTGATGAATGATTTCGGAATTCTTCGCCACTACCGGGCTGCTTGCAATGACGACGGGATGATTCATTATGTTTTTGGACATGTTCTAAATGTCTGGTTTTGCCCCGTATGGTTGCATTACAGTTGATATGTGGACACTTGTATTTTTTCACATCTGAAAAACAACTGTTATCATATTTGTGTTTATATCTAATTTTTCTATTACTCAATCAGGTAAATTAATTGACCCAATTTGAAAATTGATCACGAAAATATTAAAGCCATTAAATAAACTTATCACATCCTATTTTGATTAACTTAGATCACAAGACTCTGTTAACTCGTTTTTGTACATATTTCAAATAGAAATATTGATGTTAATGTTACCTATTACGTTACTCATAATCCGAAGAATGGTTGAATGCGATAAGACGAAATCAGTTTCGGTCATCAATTTTTATTCTTATTACCAAACAACACCCAAAATTTATT